AATCATGGTCACGTGTGTATATATATATTGCGTTGATAGAGATCGAAAAAAATGAAGAGATGTGAATCACGTTGTCGCACGAAGTAAAAGGATTCAATACATTGTCGTAGTGTCGAGAAGAAACTAAAAAATTTTCAAAGACGGACTGAATTGTTAAGATTCTTTAATTGTCCTCAATTTTTTTTTATATGTATATATATATTTTATATATATAGATTTAAATATATCTATATATATTTCTATATATATAGATTTAAATATATATAAATATATATATTCTATTCTCTCTGAAAATTACATTAAAATTTGTGTACCTACGAATAACACAATAAGAAATATAATTACGTTTTCTATTAAAGATAAAAGAGAAAATAAACTTTTTGATATAGCTATAGGAAGCATTTGTGTTTGCTCTGTTTGACTTTATTGAATTTATCTGGCATAGAACGATACTGAGTGCTTTCCATTTAATAACACAAGTCAACACAAGCATCATCCTATCTTAGTTACTCATTGAAAATGGAACAAAGACAGAATAATGCTTAGTCGATTTGTGTTAGTAAATGGAAAGCACCCACTGAAGAGTGAAGTGTCACTCACCTGCGTTTCATGTATCAATAGTATCAATAACAATCTGATATTTTTAACACTAACAATACTATCTACTTACATTTATTTCTATTGTGTGCACTACATACATGATTGTAATTAAGAGTAAAATAAATATACGAATATTTACATAACAGAGATTATATGTATAATGAATATAGATATATATATCTTGTGTCGTTTCTTTGCCATTAATATATCCTGTTGTAACAGAAACTATACTATTCTTACATACCAATGAAATAAAAAGAAAAATAGCATTTTCACGATCAGGCACGCTTGTTGGGTTTTGATAAAATGAACTGTTTGTAAAATCTCTTTGTAAATAAATTATGTACAGATGTAAAATAGCTATTGCATATACGTATATATGTGTTAGTATAGAATAATCATATGTATATTAGTCAGTCATTTATATATATATATATATATATATATATATATATTTATACATATACATACATACATACATACATACATATATGTGTGTGTGTGTTCAATCGGTATCAGATTTGGCTGTGAAAGAGAGTATCACGTAAAGTTACATAATTATTATCAAAGATTTATTAGCTAAAATATTCCCAAAATACAATAAATTATATTACATTCGTGATACGCCATATGGTCGTTTTCTTTATATATATATATATATATATGTACACAATATAATAATTCTGGCATTTAGAATGGAACACAGTTTGCGTGATTTCGCTGTACCTCGATTTCGCTTTTACTTTCGCCAATACTGTGCGAACTTGTGGAGCTGCTCCACCAGCGCGGCCATCACCGCGGTGACCGACAAGTCCAAGAGATTGTGCACATAATGTACGGCCTCTTCGTCACTCAGGTCCAATCGCAATTTGTCTTGTACTTTCTTCACGGCCTTGTCTGGTTCCAGAGCGATGTCGGGCACGCTCGCGTCCACCATTAGCGAGAACAAATTTAATATCAGATTCGCGTGTCTACGCAAATGAAGGAACGCCGTATAACACTGTTTCCGAAACTCATGATAATGCTCGGAACCAACGCCACCCATAGCTTCAACCATCTCCTTACTGAGCTTCATCGGAGGTGGCAAAGGTTTTGGGTCTCTGCCTAAAATGTAGCCAAAGTCGATGTGGAAAAGTTTTCCTGCAAAATAAGAGAAAAGATAATGAGCAATTCATTCGATACATTCATTATGTAATTTTTTCTTTTTTTATGTTTGAGCTAATTACCTGATGCCGTGAGCAACAAATTATCCAAGTGGCGATCACCGACTCCTAGTACATACGTAATTATGCAATAGCCAGCTGCAATTTTGTGATAATTAGTATCGATCAGTAATAATCATAATTTATTTAGTAGTTCACATCGCACGTATTTACCGCAACTGCGAACGTAAGTATCCATGACTTCCGGCACTACACCGTAAGGTCCAGTCTCGGAAGGATGATGCTTTCGGAAGAAGCTCAATATCGATCCTTCGCTAGCCAGGACCTCCGCAACCGTTGTGGATTCAATAAATTGTAAGAAACCATGTCTAGTGCTTGTCGCGAGTACCCTAATATAATTATTGAACTATAAAACGATGATATAAATTCAATATTACAACGTTATACTTTGTGTAGTCTTTTACCTATATGGAGTCAATTTTAAGTCTAAATTTTCTCTCCTTAACAATTTATCCATAAGCGCTATTGTTTGTAGAATTAATTGATCTTGTCGTAAATCGTCTCCGTGTTTAAATATAGCGATATATTCGCTGTTGTCTGTCGTTAAGAATGTAAGTTTCGACGGCATGAGTGCAGACTTAAAGAGACTCGCCCTGAAAAAATCAATGAAGTCAAGCACATTGATATTATCAAAATATTAGAATATACGAAGAGCGATTTGCATGAACACGTACTTTTCTGGAATAATTCCTTTGATACAAATCTCGGGATCCAAAGGGAACGGAATCGGCTCGAAATTCGAGAAGTTAATCTTGAATGCCGGATCCGGATCTGCCAATAACGCCCGCAATCTGTCAGTCTTTTTCTTACGATTCCCACTCTCTCGCGCCACCGCCTTAACCAGGGACACTAGTTGGTCGATGAATACTTTCTGTCGCAGCAGAAACGCTCGTCTCTTTTGCCAGATGATATTCCCCTGCGCTAACATCATAGAAAACATTTTCATTACGGTGACATACATCTCCCGAACTCGCATGTCTTGCTTAGCGCTGATCGTGGGATCAGTTTGGTCCTCGCATTCGATGGAGAGATACCAGTAGAAGTAATTAGCCAGCATGGAGTTCTGACAGGCGCGCGTAATCAAGAACGATGCCAGATCCATGAGCGGTTCCTGGTTTGCCGATAACTGGCTGGATTCGCTAGACTGTAAATTGAACGCACGATCACATGAAAAATACGATAGCATGTGTAATACCACATTGTTAAACATCATCAGTTGAACTTACAGTTGTAATCGGCGTGGACGTTGAATCGCAACTCCTTATGTCCCTGTCCAGTTTCTCGTTTTTTTCCGACCGCTCGTTTCTCTCCACTTTATCCTCTTTCTCCTTCATCATTACCTGATAAGCAGTCTTGATGCTCTCAAAGTCCTCATACTTTAATGCTTGTACTAATTGCAACAGATACAACATCAGATCGTCATCAGGAGCTTGATTGAGTCTACTAATTGCGTATCTTCTGATATCTGGATGAGTGAATGCGGGTCCTAGCAGCTCCAATGCGTCCTCGGGATCCGGCGGTGCCCACAACACCAGCATGTCTAGGGCCTGACGGACCTCACCCGCGAGTCGCCAGTTAACGCACTTTACGAATTTAGTTAATGCTTTCTTCTGACTGGATAAGTAAAATCTGTACTTCCAGATCAAGTCTTGTTCCTCGGTGGAGAGCGCGGTTGTCGGCGGATAGCCCAATATCGTATTCAACGCGTCACGCACAGTCGAAGTGGGTTTTAATTCACGGGTGTTACCGCCGCTACGTAGGCTACGGGCCAGTTTGTGATGTTTCGCTTCCACGAGATTTTCCTGAAAGTAAAATCAAACATTTTTTTATCTCGTGAAATATAACTTTCAGTATAACTTTAATATCGATAATCTAAAATATGTATTATCCTTTTCTGAAACTTCATATTTACTTGTAAAATTTCATAGTCTGGTAGCGTTACAACGTCCGGCTGTAGTCTGTGCTGAAAGACCTCGTCCCCGTCTTTTTCATAGTATACGATCGAGTACTGCAACAGGATAATACAAATGTGTTAAATTATCTTTCTGTTCTATATATCCCAGATAATAGAAACTTCTAAAGGACGTCTTAAAGACGTCTTACTATTTCAGACCTCCTTTAGGCGTTTTTAAGACATCTTTTAGAAGCTTGTGCTACCATGGGGTGTAAGAGACTTTCATTTCAATGCTTCATACCGGTACACCGTCCATCGTGACTTCCGGGAATTCTACCATCAAGTACAAATAATCTGATGCTCTCTTCTCCTTCTCATTAATCAATTCGATTTCTCTAAACGTTAATCTGTCCAGCCAGTCAACTTTGTTCATCTGTCCGTTTCTGTGTTTCTTAGCGAGCTTCGCGAGTCTCTGCATCTGCTCTTTTCCATGATCCCTTGCTTTGCCTGGTGTGCTAGTTGGGACACCACCGTCCGCCTCTACTCCAGGCCATACTCTAAGATCTAGCATGCCCTGTCGAAATACGCCATGCTTCCCGAACAGCGGGATAGTCGTGCCGCCCACTGGAAGCTGCCTGCCAGGTCCAGCACAGTCGTACAGTGTTATACACAGCTGTGCGTCACGTGGCAAATCTGCATATGAGATCGGTAGTGTGACCCACTGGTTCCAGCTATGAACATCACGAAAATTTAACATTAGAAATACTAACGTTTGATGGAATATTTCTATTAGAATAATCAAAATGACAGGTTTCTTAAAACATACATAATGTAAAGGAAAAAAATATTTAATCTTTTTAGTATTATTCTATGTTAATTAAATATGTAAGATGCATTCTTGTAAATTTGAATATAAGAACTTTTTTATAAGAAGTTTTATAAACCTATCATTTTGACTGCTTTTGTAGTGCTAGCGTTAATAGAAAACAAATGAGTATCAATGGATAATCCAAGATGCAATATACACCTAATAAGAAATGAAATGCTTGTAAGTTATATATGCAAGCAAGGCTAATGGCTTGTCACTGGTCCACATTTGCAGAGATTAAAAAGATAAGATGTACTGTTACAAATTTCAGTAATTTTTATAAGAAAATCCATACTACAAATCCATCATTTTGGCTGCTTTAGTAGTGTTAGAGTTAATAGAATGCAAATCAGTGTTAATGGGTGAAGATGTAACATACTTCCAACGAGAAGTAAAATGCTTGTAAGCTGTGTGCACAGGCAAGGCCAGTGGCCTGCCACCAGTCCACACTTGAAGAGATGCAGCCAAGTCCCCACGAATCCCACCAGCTCCATACAAACCAGAATACTTGAGTAAAGGATCGAGCAGCAGTTTGTCGTACTCTGGCCTCTGCCTCTTGCCCTCTAAGGTGCCTCTGCAAAGATAATAGAGCAATGATTCAACCAGAGTGGGAGGGCAAAACGCAAGAAGTTACAGAGTACGTCACATCTGAAGACTCCAAATTGCTTATGCAATCTCAACTGACGATAAAACCGTACTAGAGATAAAGAGCAGATGGTCCGGCACGCACACGCCATCACCATTAATTAACTCTGATCCGATTATTTTCAGGCTGCTGTGAATTAATGTGCGTGTCCATATCATATGGAGAGGTGTCAAGGTGGTCTTATTGCGCGGATAACCTGACGTCGGTCGCAAATAGTGACGCAAGAGTGCGCGTAACAAATCTTACATCTTAATCTGTATCCTGGCGTCTAACGAGGAACTGTACACATAGAAAAATTTGTCGCTCGTATTCTCCATCGCGCTGATGCCGGTAGGTTAAGAGCGTAACGCGTATATCCCTTCGCATCTCCTGTCACTGTTAACGCTACATTCCTTCGTACCCTTGCAAATCGCGTTGGTTACAAACGCAACTGTATACATCAAGAAGTAAATTCCACTTGGTGATTGCGCCGCCGCGAGTATCATTCTATCCTTTGGTCTGTTTCTTGTAGGTGCGTTCCGAAATTCACTGTAATGGAGGATTTACACCGCGTCCGATATCCGATATCCAATAAAAGAATAGCTTTCCAATGGAGAATTGAATTCTCTATTAGAAAGCTGTTCTCCTATTGGATATCGGATGTCATATATCGGACATCGGACGCGGTGTGAATCCTGCATTAAGGTGCAAACCATCGACATTTATATCATGTTCTGGCTCTGAGTTAACCCACTCTGGATTATTCAGCCTACGTTTATTGGTCGAACAACTATTTATAAGTAGCTTTATGATTGGCTAGTAGAGACTTATGACATCATTAATCGCTCTCGGAGCGATTAACCAGGGGGTCGATTATGTATCTCGAAACGGAGTGAAATTACAAAAGTGATCAAATTCATTAGGCGTTGGCCAATGAAGTTACAAATATTCTAGTAAATTTACTCACTTTTGTTATTTTCACTCCGTTTTCAGATACACAATCGACCCCCAGGACTAGTTGTACGGTTATAGTTTTTGCACATAGAACACGGTAATGCTTGCCGCGCGGTGGAAGTCCACGCGACAATTAATCAATATATTATTTTTCCGTAAGAGCTAGAAGGTTAGATTACGGAAAGCAGCATATTGATTGGCTGTCGCGCGAACTTCTGCCGCGCGACAAGCATTACCGCGTCCTGTGTGTAGGAGCCATTAGGCTGATATTCACGTGTCGTACGACAAGTTTTTGGATACGTTCATTGGTTCACGAACAGAGAACCTAGAAATACTCTATTCGCCAACTAATAAACGTATCCGAAAAACTTGTCGTACGACACGTGAAATAGCACCCTTAGGCGACAATTTCCCGAAAAGTGGAAGGGATAATGTTGGTACCAAGGAAAATCTCTACACGATATAATTTAAAGGTCTGTTCTTTGTGACTGCACTACTGAATTGGTGCAATAAATTGAAGGGAGACAAGTTTCTTCTCACTATAACTTTTTGCATTAGTTCAGCAGTGCAGCAAGAACAGATCATTAAATTATATCGCGTAGAGATTTTCTTTAGTACCAATATTATCCTCTCCACTTCTCGGGAAATTGTCGCCTAAAGTATCTTTAAATAGAAGCGTCCGAGCGTCGAGCGTCGAGCGTTAAAGCGTTAGCCAATCAACGTATCAGGTCCCAGAAGTATACTTGTAGTTTTTGCGGAAAGTGGCACGTTGATTGGCTACCGCTTTAACACTCGACGCTCGATGCTTCCATGTAAAGGCACCTTAACCCAGTCGAACACGCTATAAGGCTGTGTTCGGAAACGTCACTCGAGTACTCTCCCTCTCTTTTTATTTCACTCTTGTATTTCGCTCACTCCAACGGTTATCGTCTAGTAGTGTGCACACAGTGTGTGTTTCCGAACGCAACATAATAGCGAATCGGTTGCTTGCACTAGTGCGCACTAAGTACGCATTAAGGCTTGTTCATAGTATGTTATTATATTTAAAGATTGTCTTAAATAAATTATCAAATATTTTTAACCGTAATGTGATATTTACAACACCCGTACGAATCATTTTATTAGCTAAAATGTTTTTAAATATGTATTTAAGACACGATCTTAAATATAAGAATGTACTGTAAACAAGCCTTAACGTACACTCAGTGCGCACTAGTGTAAGCTGCCGAATTCGCTATAAGAGACTGCGACAAGATACGAAAGATAAATTTGAAGTAATGTAGTATAAGGTAGAATTAGTTACAATTGATACTTTGTGAAAAGTCACGAAAAAGATATTTTCAGAGTTACAACAAAATTGCGAGAACATGCCTCAGGGAAGAAGAAAAACTCCATTCAGTGGCAAAGCTAAGAAGCAGCAGATGCAAGCTAAAAAGCAGCGACAACATCAACAAGTCTTACTTGGTAGGTATTTATTAAAAAATCAGTGACTCCTGATAAGTTTAGTATCACTTTAGTTATCTCCAGCAACTGATCTTTAAAAAGACTATCTTCAACATTTCTGTTCAGAGTAGTCATTAGTAAATTATAACATATGTTGTCATATAACACAGCTAATATGAAATGATATATACATTTATGTTAATAGCAAACCAGGATTTGGATGATGACAATTATTCTAGCAATGCTAGTAGCATGGAATATGAAAGAGAAATGCAGAAAATAAATAAACAACCAAAGGATGGCAAGTCATCCAGAAATAGGTATACACTACAGTTTTTTCAAGAGACCAAAGAAGAATTGCGAAAGCGCAAAGAACAAGCCATAGAAAGCATTGAACCGGTGAGCCTTAGGGATCAAGAAGTATCTGACAATTATTTTCCACCTGAAGTTGACATGCCTAAACGGCCACCATGGGACTTTAATATGACAAAGGATCAATTAGAGATGAGGGAACAGAAATACTTTAGAGTAAGAGATCACAGTTTGATGTTAAGCAAAATTTCAATTCATCTCTACTATGTATTGTTGACTAATAATTTTCTTCTGCTTAGGAATATTTAAATAGCATAAAAGAATTAGGTGACCTTAGTTATTTCGAATTGAATTTGGAAACTTGGCGGCAGTTGTGGAGGGTCTTAGAGATGTCAGATGTTCTGCTGGTTATTGTTGATATTCGCTATCCCGTCCTGATGTTTCCTCCTTATTTATATGATTATGTGTCAAACAAACTGCAGAAAGACATGATCCTGGTGTTGAACAAGGTTGACTTGGCACCACCGGCTTTAGTAGTGGCTTGGAAGGAGTACTTCCATAATCAGTATCCAAAATTGCATGTCCTGATGTTCACATCGTATCCTACTTACAATCTTCGTGATAATATAGACAATGACGAAGGTATAAAAAGGAGACGCCGAAAAGGAAAGTTAAAGATGGCCGCGGAAGGAGCGCAGAAGTTATTGGAAGCCTGCAAGGATATTGTCGCGGACAAGGTTGACTTAAGCTCTTGGCACGACAAGATCCAGGAGGAAATGCATTCTGAGTATGATCTTGACGACATAGATCGTAAGGATAACGTGACAATCGAGAAAGAAGACACCACTTATTTTCAGCATGAAAAGTACAAGAACGGTGTTTTGACGATCGGATGCATCGGAACACCGAATGTCGGGAAGTCGTCGTTAATGAACGCGCTAATGGGTACATAAAAAATTCATCACTTTTCACTTCGCAATAACCTATACGTTATGTCGGCAGTAAATTGTCAACAGATTCGATTAAAATAGTAGATCATAGCCATCTATATTCTCATTAAATATTTGATCTATCAGCAGAGTCTGCAGACTTTTCTTTTTCTTGTGGAATTTTGTGGTGAATGTTTATTTACGGTAATGTTCATTATATTTTGTCAATAAGGTTCGAAGTAAAAGAAAGAAATTAAACGTATCTAGACGCATAAATATATGTCAGTATTCCTGAAAATTTTAACTGCATTTAAATGCTTACAGAACGACGGATGCTGCTCGATTTCTACCGTCATCGTACTCTGTGAGAAGCTTCTATTATATTTCTGTTGGCAAACTGTCGGCAAAAATTTTTAGCAACATAGTTTTTGCAAATTTAGACGTTTAAGTTGCAGCCTGTATTTAGTGTCAAACATAGCTATTTGATTCTCAACTGGAATAAGATCCTGTTACAATTTACTGGACAGATCTTAGAATAACCATGTTTATTTGACGAATACGAATTTAACGAAACTCCGTCGTTTTGTTCAATTGTAGGCAAGAAAGTTGTGAGCGTGTCTCGCACGCCCGGCCATACCAAGCACTTTCAGACTATTTATCTCACGAAGACTGTGTGTCTGTGCGACTGTCCCGGCTTAGTCTTTCCTTCAGTAGTGCCCAAACAATTGCAAATATTAATGGGCTCGTACCCGATCGCCCAGGTCAGAGAACCGTACACTACCGTGAAGTTTTTGGCTGAAAGAATGAATCTGCCGAAGCTGTTGAGAATCCCGCATCCAGAAAACGACGATACATGGTCCGCTATGGATATCTGCGACGGTTGGGCTCTCAAGAGGAGCTTCACGACAGCCCGGACAGCCAGACTGGACACTTACAGAGCGGCAAATTCGGTCCTGCGATTGGCATTAGAGGGAAAGATTTGCCTATACATATATCCACCAAATTGGACTATTCATAAAGGTATTACATCTTGTCTTTCTTCATTAGTCACTTCTAAGCATACGAATAAAATGATTTTTTTCTTGATTTTTCACGTTACGTTTACGGTTATGTAAATATTTATTAATGGGAAAGTCCCTCTTTCAATAACAATAAAAAAAAAAGAAAATTTGTTACTTAAAATATGTATGGAGAGCAAGTAATTTTTATTCTGTTCTTATACTATAGAACAATGGGAAAGTCACGGGGACGTTGAAACAGTGAGGTGGATCCAAGCCAGGAATCAAGTGATGGACGATTGCGACACACAAACTACGTATATATCTTCTTCAGACTATGAAGAAGAGACCTACGACAAACAGGGACATAAAAAAGCTGCCAGAGGCGTAGCGAATAACTCCACAGGATCGTCCAGCGACGAGAACGATATACCGCCCGTAGCTAATAAGTTTGCAGCGTTGTCTACAGAATAGGAAAGATTTAAATAATGCTATATTAATAAGTTAAGAAATAGCTAATTAATAAATTAATAAAAGATAAATGATGACGTTAGTTACACGGAGTGCTTTATTGTGTTACACCTTTCTCGGATGTTTTGTTTATCCGCGCGTTTCTTATAGATATATATATATCTTACTCTTTTTTTCTTTGAATGTACAATGAGCAATTCGATGATGATGGAGAATAGTCGGGTGGTCTTCCTGTGTTTTCGCCCGCGAAACACAATCGTTGCGATGTGACAGAACATTATGAATAAAAATAGATCATCTTGTGTAAGCTGCTACTCTGCTAATTTTTCTTTTTTTTT